GTCAGCATGAATAACAATATTGTATGTATCAGATGCATTATATTAATTGCTGTTTTGAACAAACGCACTAAATTGTTTTTTTCATGACGAAGCTATTGTAGTTGAGAAACGACGGATCTTTCTATGTCGGTATGAATTCCGCAGCGCGCATTCAATTTATCATTGCTGTCACCGATGAAATACATTTATAGGAATTTACGCTGACAATCTAGCAACGGAAGCAGAGAGCAGGCTTTATGATAAATTTGTCTTTTCACTTTGAAAGTTGGCATGAATTGTGTTGTTTTGATTTCTGCGCCGAACAACATTATTTGGAAGCATGAGTTCTATTTCCTGGTTTTAGAAAGAAAACGCTTTGATTCGGCAGTATATCCGGCAAGCAAAGTTTTTAATGACTCTGGCGGTTCTTCAAGAGTAGGCAATTTACTTTTTTTTTCCAAGGCGTAACACATTCCTTCCATTTCTCCATTAAGTTTCAGAGCCTTGCAATGAGGATATACTTCAGTCGTAGTGCCGATGAGAACATGCGGGCTCAAACTATAATCATCAGCTTGGTGTGCCGGAATGCAGGGCAATTATAATTGCGTGATTGCTGAACATGGAGTCGTGTTTGATGCTGATCATGAAATACTTAAGGTCAAGGGGCGCGACATAGTTTCAAAATGAAAACAAACATGTTTACCACCAAAATGCTCAGTTCATAGATAAACGACAATGATCGACGCAGCAGTGCTCCAGTTCGACAGTTCAAAGCGAGCAATAGTAGCAAAATCCGACAATTCACTTGAACAGAATTCTCCGCTATCAGCTACAAAGGTAAGAATGATCCAGTGGTCAGTTTGCCTGGATGTTTTCCGACAATTTTTTGTTACAAAGAATCACTCTTCATCACTTAATAAATTCTTGACAGCATTCATCTCTGTCACGCAAGACAGAAAAAAACCTCCTCACATCTATTGCTGACCTAGCCGAATCATAATAGCAAGAATCAATCTCCATTCCAAGCAAACTACAAATCAAATTACAAAGTGTCATTTTTCCCCAACACTAGAAACATGAGCTCTCTCTTTGCTTTTTTTTCTACTTAATCACACTGAGCTACAGCAACGCGTGTCTAAAAATATGCACGTATTCGAATACAGTGTTGTTCAAAATTTCAAAACAAGAGGTATATCTAAGATTTTGAAGTAATATAGATAAGGCGCGTGTTTAAAAATTTTCGGAGATTTAAAATTTTGAACAAACGAATATGGATATTTATACAAAATAGCTGGCCGGACACGCGAATCGTGGCCGGTCCCCATAGACTAATTGAATCAGCCACACGAAGCGTGGCCAGGTCTAGCTAGTTAATTAATAAATGCGTGCAAATGAAATATCAATCTAAACGACTCTCGCTCAAATATTTCCCTGTATGTTCGTCATACGTTTGTCTTGTTCTTTCATTAATCAGTCGTTAATACTTTTATTTAGGATCATATATATTAATTAATACTTTTATTTAGGATCATATATATTTAATTAATACTTTTATTTAGGATCATATATATTAAGATAATTAATTGTAAATAATTGAAGTTATTATAATTGTATTACGCCACTTCTGATTGTAGCGATGAAAAACTCTGAGCTATTGCAAACGTTAAAGATAATTGTGACATTAACTGGATTGAGATAGTTAGTGTTAACCGCTCTTTATCTGTCAACACTACTCTTCCCGTTTTCCGAAATGATGGCATTTTACACATAGTGTTATGTAGGAATATTTTCAATATAAGCATTTGTTGCAACTGGTTGAGAAGGTAAAAATTAACCAAAATTCCTTGTTAAACACAAAGGAAGAATATGTTAACATTGAAATATCACTTTGGAAATACTAATGACATCCTGAACAATATTAATTACTGAAATTTAGAGCTGTAATTATAAAAATTATTATTGAAATAAGGAATATTATGACGAATTCAGCATGCGATTCAGGAAACATCCATGCTTAACGATTGGTATAAAGCTGCTATTAAACAAACAGTACAACAAGTGGTTACAATTTATCTACTGGGAAGAATCTAGAGCAGTTGGTTTTAAGAATTTTACAAATTGGATCTCGTTTTTTAACCAAGTTATATAGATTGATAATTAAGAATCAGATATTAATTGGGAATTTCGGCAGT